AACAGAATCGGTGAGCATAAGCGGTCCATTAACAGACCACTGAGAAACGTAGATGAATGTGAAACGATAGTCAAATATTCGGCAGTGGCAGGGCATGCACTAGACACTTGGCACAGGATAGATTCGGAAAAAATGGACATTCTGAGACGTGGACTAAGCTTCACACCACAGCGACCGGTGGCTCTGGAAATCGCCAAGCATCCCAGCTTGAAAAGAATAGAGGGCATAGAAGTGGCAACCATGTGGAGAGCGGTTTTAGATCAGCCGAGATGACACAAAGCGGTGTGCAGTTATCTGTAAAATGGTTTGGATCTGAAAGTACAAAATTCAAGCTGAGTAAGATCTAATTAACGAACCCCATCCAAACCCCAAACCAATTGTCCCGGCACCCCTCGACAAACACAGGCGAACAAAATCTGTGAACGACCGCAAGAGGGATATTCCATTAAGGTATCCTAGACAGGCCGCAAAATCCGCTTTCACCATGGCGACAACTCCCCCCAACCAGTCTATCTTAAATGTTAGCCATCCCCGCTAGCCAACAAACAGGAACTGATCAAATCGGTTGGTCATAAGAAATCTCACGGATTGGTCCCCTGACTGTCTTAAAAACCGATCAACCTGCTTATTTAATCACGTGGCCTGACGAAGCTTTTGTATCCAAAGGGAAACGTCGCCCAGCACTCAATCCACCGATTGTTTACCAAATCTCTCTGGGACGCTGACCTGATGTGGCTGAAGTTCGTAAGCCTGGCGCGTGAGGCAGGCTCAACCGCGTAAACAAAGGTGGATGAGAAATTATAGTGTACACTTAGTTGGTTAAGTTACTTGATTTGGGTGTTTTTGACGCGTGGCCTGGTAGGTGACCGCTAGAAATAGTCTCCTCTAGCGAAGGAGAAAAGTCGGTGTTGATGAAATGGTGGTTGAGGTTGACATGAGACGAAACGGTCTGGCCAGTGGGTGACCGCTTCAAACGGTAGACTGGAGCAGTATAAAGGCCTTTGTTGGGTCCAAACCACGGAGCTCCCGATTAGTAAGTGCGCATCCTAATCACTGAGTTTTCTCAAGCCCAATGGCTGATACGGTGAACTGACAGGGCCAGAGCATCTTACCGGAAGGTGCATATGACGTTTTACCGCAGGATGTCCAGTTTATGAATGTGGGGTCAAGTGCTCCCTACGTCTTCCCGTGGGATGATCGAAAAAAAAGTAAATCACGAGGAGTGATCTTCACGGTAAAATGCTTACAGAAAATAAATACACTTTGGGAAAAGGGTGTAAAAATTGGAAAATGGATGTGATAGATATATTGATATGTTGGTAGCTCGGGTGCTGTAGACCCAATGGCCGCTGATCTGTTATGCAACTTTGTCAATTTAATCGCAAACTTTCCGTCACCGATCATGGAGATATCACCAGCGTATGGTTGACCATGCCCTTACGATTGATGAGGATGTTAGTGACGAGCTGCTGGCAAGATAGCTGCCAAGCAAACGTTCAGCTGTAGCACCCTTTCGGTGCCTAGCTGCCATGCTACCCGAAGGAAGCCCGAGGGCTGGGATACTGCCAGGTTGCCTAAGCCTAGACAGGGGAAGTCAAGGGGTAGAGGTCGGGTTCGAACCACGGACCTTCCGGTCAATAAATTCGCGCTCTTGCCACTTAGGCCATCTCGCCCCCAAGTAGGTCCAGTAGATTAGCTACCTGATCTACAACCAGATGTTATTAGGTTACATAATCACATCGAATGCCATTTCACCTCGTAATGTCTACAACTTTTTCTGACGTGCCGCTAATCAGGCCATTTCGATGTATACCTCTCACCACCGTTTCAAAGGAGCCGCTGACTCCGTTTGGATGCGAATTCTGCGATCAATACGTTTGACGTGCTACAGCATCTAACGGATTCCCAACCTATTCGGGTTCACGGCTCCAGTCTGGACGTAGCGAACCCAGCTTCGCGCGACGCAGCGGACTCCAGAGTTTCTCTTACTGACGCATTCCGTTCACTCATTTACCTATAGCAGTGGGCGGCATTCATGGTTGTTCCAGTATCCACATGTCTACAGGTTACCAGTTAACCGAATTGTCTACAACCAAATTAAAAATGTTCACGGTACGTTATTGTTCCATTTGGACAGCGTCCGGGAAAGATTGGAGTTTGAAAAGAATCCCAATGGTGACATGCATTCAACCTTTGTATGGACGACTCCTTCGTACTAGCCTAACAAACGTACTAGACAGTTCTAATTCGTTCCACACTAATATCAACATTTCTATCGAGCCAGAACAGAACGAACAACTAAGTTTCCTGGATGTCAGTATTGAAAAAAGGCTGGCCGGACCATGGAGCGCAAAGTTCACAAGAAGCATACGTGGGAGAGTCAGCAGATTCACTTCGACAGCTTCGTTCCGCTACAACAAAAATGTAACCTAATTAGATGCTTGACTGAGACAGTAATCAGGATGCGCTTCTCCGACCGCGTGTAAGGACGCGTATTTCTGTGGAATGGATATACTGAACTGTTTGTATTCAAGACTACGCTATCTGTAAAACTTAAACCTTAACAATGCTGAGTTGGGAAGAAGCTGATCTACACGGGACTCCCACTCAAAGGTGACTCGATTGCTAAACTAGCTACCAGAAGTCTTACAGACCCTGTTGATACAATATACATGGCTACTAATCTATGCTCGAGTTTCAATTCTACCTCCACTATCAGGTTCCTTTTAAAAGGCAAATTGCCGCGTTCTAGCACCAGCTTTTTTGTCTACTCATTTGTATTCTCGTGTCAAGCATTTGTCGGACAGAATGCGAAAACAATCTCGTCTCAGATTAGTAGTCGGAAGAAACCGGGCTGAAACCAATCATGTAATTGACAAAGAGCAACCCTTCGTTATCATACATCGGGTACCTCTGAACCGATCACGAATAGACTACTATCAGCCACAGCGGCTATTGGAATAAGACAGCTGGACCCACAGCTTTGCGTCCAAAGAAAACTCGAGTGACCTCTGAACTTGAAGGTCTGTGAGAAATCCGGTGGAACAATCCTCTCTGACATTGTCGTCACCTGATCCTGTGACCCATCGACCTATCCTTCATTCATTAAAACTTTTTCACGTGGTTTCTGTCAAACTCTTTATGTTGTACCGAAAAACCATCCCTAAACGAATGAGATGGCCAATTCTTCGTTAGTCCTAGCGACTATGTTACTTGTACAAGCAGACATACTACTGCTTGCTACTTGGAGACTAGAGTGTTCTCCTGTCACAAAACTAATTATAAAGTTACCGAAAACCCTCCAGCAATTAAACGGGTCGGTGTACAGTCCTTGGGGTACCGGACAACGAAAGGCTTCTATGAGGAATGATTTCCACTTGTAACTCGGCCGGGTACCGCATTAGGTGGAACATGGTGAGAAATGAAACCCGCATAGTCTGTCACCTAGTTGGTCAAAACTATTCAGACGGGATATGGTGCGGTTGTGAACTAGCAAGTCTCAGGTGCATACTATACTAGGCGGAAGGAAAATCGGGGCCAGGAAATAAAAAAAGGGTGCATACTTACTAGGCGGAAGGAAAATCGGGGCCAGGAAATAAAAAAAATGACAGCGGAGAGCTACGGCAAGTATGGAAATCCTAAACAGAGAGATCTTCAGATGGTTGCCGTGTTGTCGAATCAGCACGTTAAAAGGAAATATGAACTTCACAGCTAACAATGGACGGTTTACGACATCCAAATCCTGTTAGGAAATCTACGGCCGTGTTTATCTTTTTTAACACCGCCGAATCGCCCGAGCACGTCAGCTGATTGAGAAGTCAGCAGAAAGCATTCGTCTTCTAAGTCAAATATGCTTTCATCTGAAGTTGAATTCAAACACAACAGGAGACCTCAACAACTGGCCTCTCCCACGTAAGAGTACTAGGACGGTTCACATGCCTTCTTGGTGTGGACTCGATCCGAACCAGTGAGGTACGCTTGCACACAAAGGTACAAAGAAATAAGAGAGCATAAGTCCGAAAATGAGTCAGTGGCTGCCCAGGAACGAGGACCGAAAAGCATCAGAAGAGGACAGAAACAACAGCCCGAGATACACCATATGGATGGTTGTAGAGACGAGACAGAATTGCAATTTATACCAATCGTTTTCATTTTTTTAACCCATTTACTTCAGGTACGAATTTATGATGCCTTCCGTGTTTGTAGGTGTCAACAAACATTCCACCATCGTCGTCTACCAGTGGTTGATCTATCGTGGAAACGCGATCGATTCAATAATTTTGACACTGTTTTGTAGATTGTACAAATAAAGAGTCGGTGGACAGTCAAGGGTTGTTGCCTCATCGTTAAATTAATCATGATCTACATGCTTTGTCAGCATCCACAATCTGCAGATTTGTTTGCTCGTAAACAGTCGTAAGAGTTGCATTCTTTTTTATCCATTATCATCTTCTTGATGAGTCAATTTCCTGTCCTGGTGCGAGTTTTTTTGCCCAGCGTACGGGATGCACTCCAAGTGTTCTGTACGAACGGACTGCATTTAGCCAACGTTATGTCAGAAGTCATAAAAAAAAGTGCGGAAATATTTAGCCAACGTAATGTAGAAGTCATAAAAAAAAGTGCGGAAATATCAGGAAAAAACGAGACCATTCATTGAATTCCCGAAAATAGTAACTGTTCATTCTTCGATTTCGGACTGCTTCTTCCTCATACGGCCCTTTCTTGTGATTCATATACAGGTCTCGCAGAGTACCACGGTTAACGAGCGATTCCAAAACGCACATTTGCTAGTGAATGCCTCAGCTACCGATGTAGAGGAGTACTGCAACGTACGGACTAGTCACATTCTACTGGCTACATTAGTCAGACCACGTAAAGCCGTAGCAGCCAGAAGCAACGCACCATTGGTTCGAGGCAGAAGAATGAAACTGTTGGTAGTCATTCGCGGCGTTCGAAACTTCTCCAAGCCGTGACGAGCCACCATTAATGAAAATTAATGTTATACCACATAGATCAATGCATGTATTTCAAATAAAAAAGTCACTGGCAAATAGGCATGAGAAGTGCGCAGAAGTAAGTATCTTCATGACCTCGGGAAGCACCAACCAGATTGCATAACCGTTGGTTTGTGTGGGTGTGAACATCTTGGAAGAATATTGCAGGCACGTGGCTGGGTTCACTGGATGTGCCTCATTGCTCTCAGTCATCTGGCCAATCATCATCATCTCGAGACTTTCCCTTCCCACGTTTTTTGCGACGTTGGGGCTTCTTGGGCCGGTTCACAGCAGATTTAAGTTCTGGAACCGGAGCCGAACAGGAGGATTCTTCGACAGCACAGGCCTGACTCGCGTTCGGTTTAGCATCACCATCAACGGGTAGTTGGCTTTCGACCGGGGCGACTGGAGGACATTCACATGGGTTTGACACACTGCTCGGGGGAACATCACTGGCTGCTTTGGTAGCCGGACGGTGAGTTACATGCTTGGTGTTACCCACAATTTCGATGCAGTACTTCCCTTTGATTTCCGAGTGGAGGAGAGACTCGATAGCACCGTATTTTTCCGGTTCAATAACGACAGTCTGAGAAAGAGATTGGGAAGAGAAAATAGATGGTGAGTGAAACCGGAAAAAAATTTCACACGGGGACGAATTTAACCCCGGCTCATATGATTTTTGTTCGAAGGCTAGAAGTGACGTGCTAGGTTTTACCACTTTGGTAAGTGTGGACGGAGACATCTGCCTACCACTTGGGACCCAGAATGCACGTTGTCCAGCTGAACACTTGCTTATCCGGACATAAGTAAAGCGATAAGTCAGGAGACGACTGCATCGAAAGAGAGAAACACCATCATACTCAGAATTCGGAGAGATGAAACCGAAAAAGAGTTTTCTGATGGCAAGCCATTCTATTTAGAACAATAGGTTAGGGACAATGCTTAGCAGCTGGCAATGATTAGATCTCGGGGAAGGAAAACATGAACCTTAGGAAAAGTGGACTTCAGTGGGGTACAAAGATGTGGGCAGTGTACCAGTTTCATGGAGTGGGGTGAATAAAATCTCGAAGGACACAATTAGCCTGGCTAGATCTGTCGCGTTCTCCACTAGCTGATGAATGTAGCGAAGAGTACAACAGATAAGAAAGAATCGGGTCTAACAACTCGGCCTCATTTTGCGTTCTGACTGTATGACCCACTAAATGAATGCGGGTCTGAGGATTGTGACTGAAAAAAATCGTTCAGCTGTGGCACCAATTTCGGGACGGGATACTGCCTGGACAGGGGAAGCCGAGGAGGTCGGGTTCGAACCACGGACATTCGCGATCTAACCACTGAGCTATCCCCCCTCACCCGAGGATAGTGACTGACAAGACGCGAGCTTCTGCGCAGTGGCTGTAGGTTTTACAAATCATATTAATTCATCTAAATAGGGTGCTGGTTGTTTTACCAGAGTTTCGAAATAGCATCATGGTACACATCGATAAAAATGAGGTGAGGTATAGACTTATACATTAAATGTCTTTAGGTACCAAACGAGTTAGAGTTGCCGCAGTTGGTTGTTTGTTAGTAGTGTGGGGAGATGGAAATGTTGAACGAACATTTCATCCTGTGAATAACGTCACTCTATGCTGGAAAGCCGGTAAGCATCAGCAGTGCATATCTCACGAAACTCTAGGAGGTATCGAATCGGCGATCTCACAGGTGGTAGTCTAAACACTCGACCGTCCGACCATCAGCAGCCGATCGGCAGTGTGATTAACTCGCGCTTAGATAGGATACAGCGCCACGGGATCATGAAATCCACATCACGTGACCGAGTGTTGGTTGGTTCCTCCAGTGACAACTTCTCAGACAGAAGTTGTATTCTTTTGAGTTTTATTCACAGCTCATTACAGACTGTTGGTTCTGACATTGACTACATGTACCAGTCCCCTCTTGAACGAAAATGAACATTTCCACTCCACCGGGTGAACCAAGGTTGCATAACACGCACGACCGAGTCTGAACATTTGGAGCAATACTAACTGGAATGAGATATCCTCAGTAAAGCCAAGAGAATATGTTGATGTTTGGAAAATTTTGATGAGTACGTTGTTAGTTGAAATAAACAACCTCCCCAAGCCAAGTAAAACCATTTCGAATAGAACAAAACATGAGAACACACAATCCGGTATTCCATACATTTCTTCCATATTATGGCGTTTAAAGCTAATTGTGACACCTATGGGCAGAGATCACACTGGCAGCAAAAGTCTAGTGTGCTAAGTGGAACTTCTGACTGTCTCACGGCACATACACGTCGAACGGTTGCACGGCTCCGATGAATGTAGACATTGGATTATCCAAAAACACGCTTAGTTCAACCTCTACGCGTCATGTTCAACTCCTGTTTCATGTCAAAGACAAAGGACCTAGCTCAAAAAATAAAGTGACATTGAGCTTGGAGGTCGTGAACTTCTCAATATTTTGGCAGCTAAACTATTTTTCTACCAGACTTCGACACACGTTAGTACAACGCTGCGGAAATTGTTTGCCCTTGTCTCTCTGGCACCTAAACGATGAAATTCGCAACGGCGGCCACATCACCTAGGCGATTGAGCCTGTGCAGGATGAACTTAAGCCGTTCTGCTCAACCTCTGTGATCAAATATCCGCTCAAACGCGCTACGTTATACATCACTGTGTAGAAACCAATCAATCGCATCAATTTATCCGAGCTAGTGAGGTAGGAATGCAGTTGATGATAAACCACTAGTTTAATAATCATTTAGGCTCCTTCATTAGCTATTAGTCCAACTCTTTCCCTTNCTTGCCACTGTCCTACATTGCCAAAAGAAGATGACATTTCCAAATCGAGGGAATGGAGTCGATTAGGGTACCTCGGCTCGAGCCTTTGGCTCAAAGACCAACATGAAAGGCATCGGGAAAAGGGGCACGTTGTTTCAGGGCCTTGCCCTGATACAGTGAGCTGACGAGAAAGACCGTATGCATGGGGATTTCTTGTATCACCCTGTTAGGATCCAATGAATCACAGTCTGACCTTATCGGCTGACAAAGCACAGAAAATATAACAGTGAATCTTCGTTGCACTTCGTGGTTGGGGTACATAAGACCCAGCACATCAATGATTTGAGGCAGTTACGGCCATGTCACGCAGCTACCACCACCGATGTAGGAATCCTTTCATAGCCATTTTCTGCACTTTTTCCATCCTGTCCGCTGTAGCGGAGCTGAGGCGACTCGAACAATACATAGACGACAAACCGTCGTCAAAACAAACTGAACACTTTCCTTAAAATACTTCAATAGCTAGCGGTGAGTTCTGTTCTATGTGTTGAGATGCTCTACTTACTGTGGATTACATGAGTACCTGAAAAAGTATCAGATTATCGTCCTCTGTTGCGTGGAGCTGACAGCTAAGATTGATTCTAGAGGGTAGCACAGAGTTCCAATTTACGCTGGCTACTATTAAATCGACAAGTAGTGAAAAGTTAGAAAGCGGTACTCCAGAAAAACTAAAGCAATCTAGATGCAGCTTCACTGCCTGAGGGAGTGACACCGCCATCAGGATGATGATAATAGCAACATCAGCAGTGATACCAATATAGTGAATAAATAAACAGACAAATAAATGAACGCATACATAAAAAAGGTAAGTAAAGGCTAGGTTGCTGTAGCTGAATATGAAGTTTGAATGTCAAGTTCAACTGCTGTGGAGTCTTCCCAGGGGACAACCAAACTTCTTCGCCTATTTTACATTTCTGAAGTGATGATTCTTGGGAGGTAGATAAAGGAGACATCGTTTTTTGCCCCTTTCGACTTCTACAGGGTTTTATGATCTGGGGAGACTACCAATCAAAAACATGTTTTCGTCAAAAGCAACCAATGCTACTAACTCAGAGCTAAGTGCTGCGAAATCGAGTGGGTACATCATCTCACACGATTGATACGTAAATAACAGTGAGAATGCCAGTGTCCTGCCAAACTGAGTAGCCTGTACACAACGTATATGGTGTGCATTCCTGCACTTCGTATCGATCAGAGCAAAAGCTGTCCACACGCTCGTATGTTTGGCCCCAGTGAGGCACGGATGCGAATGCTCGAAAACATAGTTGTAGCAAAACAACAAACAATGCTGTGTACGTTGGACAGCGGCATAGCCAAACCGTTCCTTTTTAGCAATGTATGTCAACGTAACACTGAATGAAGAAATCGCACGGACACTAAGGCTCTCTTATTCCCGGCAACTTGTGCTTTGTTACGCGATTAACCGAAAACTGAAAACAGCACACGTAAGCGGCAAACCACGAGGGCATGCAGTTGACGAGTGTTATTTGTGCTCCCAAACGCGGTGCACATGAGAGTTTTGCTTCCCTGTCCAATAGTCTGTAACTGCTTAGTTGGCATTTTCTAATAAATAACTCCACAGCGAATGCCTTCTTCTCTTCACCGGTATAGTAATGAGGTCCTAGTAAGAATATGTACCGTGCCTTCACTGGATAATATCAACAGCAAGTCCCAATTTTTTGCAGTATCTCTTCTTTACAAAAGACATTCATCGGTCAGATGCTCTTAAGGAAGACAGCTTGGCGATTCACTTCATTGGAACGTTGTCCTGCATGCCTGAAAGTCCCTCAGTACTGTGGAAAGAAACATGTCATCTCCACAGTGAAACACTTGGGTAGACAGTATACAATGATTATACGAGTAGTTGACAGTTTAGTCTGTGAAATACAGGCATTTGCAAATTAATTTGGTGTTAACGGGAGACTCAACTGAGTATTTCATTTGCGACATTCTTATCTAGGTTTGCTGCATAAAGGATTCCCAAGTTTCAGTTGGTATGACATTCGATATATCACCGTTTATTTTTTCACATAACTCATTACTTATAAGATAAGTGAATACTTTTCGGCCGCCCACTATCGGTTCCCTTATCCTTGGGGTTCGTTCGGTGGGAGCAGTTTCCAGGTTTCCATTATTAACCTTACGTTTCACCTGAAAACCAAACTGCATCGCCTTGATTTCAACTGCAGATAACTGAATCTATCATCTCTGATACTCTTCAAATAGAACACTAAGTCCATAGAAGTTCGAGGACTACGTCTAACTAGTGAACCCCAGAAAGGCCAAAAGCCGGTAGTCTTTTGTGGAGTGGTTTCCAGCAAAATTGATGACAGCGAGTTGTCTAAAAAATGACCTTAGAAAACCCGTCCAGTTTGGGTTAAAGCCAAAATCTTGTCAACTTTCCATGCAATTGGCTGATAACTATATGAAGACGACACGACGCGATATCGCGGATTAATCACCGAAAGCTATTAACTTATCGTACATTGCCTGAATTTGGTCTCCACTTCCAACCCATAGTGCGCAGTTTGAGGTTCATAGGAGATTATCAAATTATCAATCCAAGTTAAGTATGTAAGTGATCTAAATTAGGTTAGTACGGTTCAACATAGCTCAGTGGTTAAAACGTCAGTTAGCTGACCGGAAGGTCCTGTCTAGGCTTCAGCAACCTGGCAGTATCACAGTCCTCGTAATTCCTTCTGATTTCTACATACCGAAAGGGTGATATAACTGAGCGGCTCTTTATTTTACTATTATCTAGATCAAAAAACCTCTTTAACGTCGCCGGTTAGCGCAGCGAAATCGTTTGAGACATCGGCTGTTTCACAGTAACATCGACTTGCAAAACAAGAGAAATGCACACCGCCATTTTGAAAAACGCAATTTGTCTATTACTCAGTATTCAGGGTTCGTCTCTTTGCACAGAAAGAAGTCCCCGTACCGCAAAACCGTGTCCTCGAATGGGGTGTTTTCAACTAAATGAAGTACTGTAGTAGCATTCCGTTTCTGTCTATCAACTGAGTACCATCAGCTGCTGACATGTAGACGCATATACACATTAAAAGTCATAAATCGATGGTCTCTACAACCACATCACAAAAGAGCGCGAGCAACACAGCGAGTGCAATCGACAGCAACAACACTACAGGATGTGGTATGTTCGCATGCCTGAAAGCTGAAAGCCCTTATGTTATGTTTCCTGTCGCGCGGGTCTACACACATATACGTAGAAGCAGATCGATGAAGTTTGAGTAAGAGAAGAGTTGGTGTGCGACTAAACTGCACACCAAAGTCATGGGATTAGACCCAAACTTGATGAATACGACGGAGTTTAGACGCTCTTTGAAAGAAGAAAGAATATTGCTCTTGCAAGCCATTAAAGTGACGCGATATCAAAATGCATCCATGGGCGAATGGTTGGAGTATCCCAACTAAAAATTCAAAGGCCTGAAGACGAGTGTCTAATTGAGAGACGTATTTAAGGATAGGTTATGTGACACAGTAGATAGGCCGCCAACAATGCACCAGTCAATAGTCTTGGTGAAACCAACAGTTTGCCTGAGTCTCTGTGGATAGACAAAGAGTGAAGTCCAGCAAACACTTGGCTCAGAAATCATAACATAAAAGGAGAAAAACTGGAAGCTACTTGAATAATACAAGTTAAAAACCGGCAAGACCGAAGCAGTGGTTCAAAAGGCTACAAAGGGCGCGCGGCGGGTCAATTCCACGAGATACTTGCACTTAACCATTCCTGAACAGTGTTCCGCAGCATAACAGTCATTCGCCCTTCGCAAAGCAAATTACACAAGGGTGGAACTTAGCCATTCGTCGTTCTGACGTATTCACCTTTCGGGATGTGAAAAGGTATCGAAATGTACCGCAAAACCATTTCAAGGATATCCTACATTCTCTAAGAGGGAAAACTCACAACGATAGCAACGACGAATTCCTTCCCCGTTGTGAACACGCATAACCCTACTGGACATGATTCCTATTTTTTCCTAAAGAAGACGCCACTGATTCAGATTTATTGGTTGACCGTTACGTTGAACGGTCGAAAACATACGCACTATAGAGATATCAACATTGAGGTCTCTTTGATCGGATTGAACTTGGTTTGGCTGGTAGGATCTTGTTCCGTGGTCCCTTCTCGAGTTGAGCAGGATGACACAAATTCTCGTTCCTAATGGTTTAGTGCTAACAACCACTACAAGTTTTGTCATTTAAAAGTAATCAATATCTCGAACATTCAGTCGTCACAAATCGAAAAATTTTGCCTCGCAGCTATAGTAGTTGTCTGAAACATTCGAGCGCGCCAAAATACTTATCAACCTGAGTACGGGAAGCTCTGGTAGGATTTTTAGTACTTTAGAGTACTACAAGAACTCCTGTTCACCATCCTTCCGCGACACAGGAAGTGAAACATCGGTTTTGAACACTGATGTCATGCTGTCGATGATGAAGATGGTGACACAAGCAACTTTATAAAACAAACGTTCATCTGTAACACCCTTTTGGTGCCTAGCTACCATGCCACCCGAAGGAAGCACGAGGGCTGGCATACTGCCAGGTTACCCAAGCCTGGACAGGGCAAGTCGAGATACAGAGGTCGGGTTTGAAGCACGGACCTTCTAGTCAGTAAATTCGCGCTCTAACCACTTGAGCCACCTCGCCTCTTACTTTACAAAAGTGGAGAGTGAGATCGAGTGACAATTGATGGAACATCTGGATGCTACACCGGGATTTAAAACTATTCACGGGGGCGTATGAGGCAATCATTTTCTGTCATTCAAAGCCGGAGATAAGCATGGAACAAATGGGCGAACCGAGTGCCCCGCACAGTTGACTTCTATCCCAAAGCATACGAATGGGACAGACAGCCAGTCAGACCTCCGCTCACTGTAAGATTCCGGATGAGTAGGCCACAAGAATTGATAGCATGTGGTCTGAAATGGAAAATTAGCCGTAAGGATAGGGCTACGTCGCAGCACACCCCAAGATATTACATAATGGTGTCCAAAAGAGACCGTGGAGACGGGGGAATTGCAACGATGGATGAAACAAGAACTCAAAAGCACAAACATGGACGATATTCACTGAACTTACCAGCTCATAATTGCCCGTGTCGGCATTCTGTCCTTGACGAATTACATCAGTGCACAGCTGTAGTACACTATCCTTCACCGAAGGTAACACAGCACTGTCGATCGATACGACCACCTCCATCATAGCCGGAGCGATTTTAAATCCATCGGTTGAACGCAAATGTTTGATCACTTCAAGAGCCTGAAAAAAGGTGGCCGTAACATCAAGTAGAGTGAAAGTAAGAAAGACTTACGTGCTGCTTTGCAGTCTTGTTCGCCTTCAACGAGATGTGACAGTCTTTCATCATCTTCTCAATCATGGTGACGGTGTAGGCCCTATTGGTCTCTGGGTTCACACACCGTTCTGACACCATTTTTGCTACATCACGAAATAAACTTTGCTGTTCTACAGACCGTTCTTTCTCTGTCAGCTGAAGTTCACCCTGTTCAAGAATCTACACAAAAATTTAAGGTCTGCATAGTTATCAGGCAACTTACCAACTTGATTATATCGATTTCGTTTTCCGTCCGAAACACTTGGAACATTTCCTTCTTGTTAGCAAATTGTCCCTTGGAGACATTGGTGAACACACACTGAATTTGCAATACTTCGTCCAGATTTGTCTCCCTAATGTAATGGATGATTAGCTCACCACGGTACAAACCTACAATCGGTCTCGCCACGCCCTAACTTTGTTTGGATAGCAAGCAAGTTCATAACGGTTACCACCTTTCTTTAGGCGAACCACGGATACGTTGGTCAACCGTTTTTGGTTAGTGGGTGTGAATAAGGCCATCGCTCAGCTGAAAAACCAATAAAAAGATGGTCAAATTGGATGTTTCGCCGAAATTCTCGGTCCTATCGTCTTCATTTACTAGCCGATCCCTAGACGAACATGGGAGTCAGGCGACCAACCGTAATTAGATAAGAGCTAGAGACGAGGATCACTTGTATCAGATGCTGCTCGTAATATTCACAGCAGGGAAAACGACTATTTCAGGCGTGTGAGGTTAAGCAATCTGGGATACAGTGCTCTCGGTATCGGCCCGCACTGCTGTTGATCCATGGGCGTTCAAGCTGGCAACAGATACTCATAAAAAATCAACCAACAAACTTGATCTATTTTAATAAATATCTGCCAACTCCAACACGTCTATCGGAGGCACTGTAACAATACCGGTCGGCGAGCTGCTCCACCGATTTAGAACTGTATAGGATGGGCGCACAACCGGAGATGCACCTAGATAAATAATGTCCATCTGTGACGCTCTTTCAGTGTGCAGCGGCGGCGTGACTCAGAATTATGAAGACTGAGATATTATGAAATTGCGCACATATAAAAAAATAATAAACGTTCAGCTATAACACCCCTTCGGCGCCTAGCTGCCATGCCACTCGGAGGAAGTACTAGGGCTGAAATACTGCTAGGTTCCTCAAGCCTAGACCGGAGCAGTCGAGATACTGATGTTGGTTTGAAACCGTGACCTTGTGGTCATTAGGCTTTGCGTCTTAACCAATGAGCTCACTACCCAAATCCTGAGCTGGGTTCGTAACATAGATCTTGTGATCAGTAGTTCGGCGCCATAACCGTGGAGCTACTCTGAGCTGTTGAGTAAATGCCCCAGGGATGTCAACCCCAAGAGCTTGAGAAACGGTTACAAGAAAGTTCTGCAGTCAAACCACTCGGAAGATGGGAGTTAGGCTCAATCACCTTCGCCGGACACTGGAACCCAACATAATCAGTCTTACGGGGTTAAAGAGTTAAAGTACCAAGCTTATGGCCCCGGTGAAGCTAGACAGACTGTCCCACATGCGAGAATGGACACGACAAACTAGCAATGATTGCTGGACTGCTGGCAAACTTCATGAGCAAAATGTCCACCGTAACGTCTGTTACACTCTGCGTTCGCTTTCAGCCACGTCAACTGTTTAGTTCATCGTCGCTGGGTCCGAATGAACAAGGACGCTGAGCGTTAACACCCATGTTTGACATATGACGCCAACTGTTAGTTCATCGTCACTGGGTCCGAATAAACAAGGACGCTGAGCGTTAACACCCATGTTTGACATATGAGTACCATGCGATAAAATGCTACAGCACTGATGCTTGCTGACACACCATAAAATGTCACGGCAACACACCAATACCGAACGGAAGATCCAGAGACAGTTGTAAAGCGTCCGCATCGCTGCGCTAGCGATGAATCTTTAGGTTTAAATCATCGATAAAAGACACGGGAAGTCTAATGGCGATCCAAAGGTGGCTGCCAAAGGATGTGCACGAACGGACATCGTCCTAGGTTATCAAGTAGAAGGGTACTTTCTCGACTGGATACTCGTTGTTAGCCGCCTCAGAGCGGTCCGTCTGATGACCTCCGCGAAGGAGTCTCACAAGCGACAAGTTGATCATTTTCTACTTTCCGCGTGTGGTCCTGTCCCACTCGACAGAAGCTGTGACTCCATTAAAACTGGAAGGAATATGGTTCAGTGATTAGAGCATTGATTNGACTTAAGCGTCCGATGCTCCATGTGGTAGACGAAATAAACGGCACGTATAATACAGCGGCAACGACTGCTTTAGATTGCGCTCACGATTTCACGCAGCGCTAGCTTCCAAAATAAATATAGCCGTCTAACCACATGCTGTTTTCCAACAGCATGCGAGCCACAGACCAGAAGTGATGACATCAATCTAGGCTTGGGCAGCCCGACAGTATTCTAGCCCTCGTGCTTCCTTCGGGTAACATGGCAGCTAGGCACCACAGCTGAGAGATTTTTTTCACTGTTCACGGAGCTTCAGAGGGATACAGAGGAGTTAAACCCTGAAGCAATACTTTGCACTTGGAGGGTGAAAAACATGTACCGAAGATAGTGATCATCTAAAATCATACGTAGATTTGACTGTGGGGACCGCACAGTTCAAGTCCACTGGCCCTCCTCTTCCGCCAATATCTCAGAAGTGTTGCTGGTATCGAATCGAGTCAACGAATTGGCAACGAGGTAATTAGAAAACGGGTGCTTGTTTGTGCAGAAGGTATTTCGGTTGCGGGGAACATCCATCAACACCCACTATGGTGGCGGTCATGTGCTACGCCTGCTGGAATACCGTCTTTTAAGTCGATAGCATAACATCGGCGTTTAGCATTAATGTCCCTGCTGTAATGGCAGTCAGTCAATGCTGGTGGCGTCCGCGCTGTCCGTTTCTTTCTAGACCGTTTGACTGATCGCCTGGGGATATAGGCGTTTCAGGACGCTTGCGGTAGTCAAGCCGCCGGTCTTATTCTCAACCGTTATCTTCTCTTCCTATTACTTTGAGGCTTTAGGTGTAATTAAATGAAATTTGTGTTGTACAGCAGTGAAACACCAGTGTCCACACTGACACTGGTCACCCTTCCCGCAACCTCTGACTCCAAAAGACAATAGGGTTCTCCTAGGGGACTGTGCCCCCAGCTAGCGTCATCCGAGAGTGCTGGAAATAAGGGTTGGATGTCTCAATTATGATGCTTCCGCTTGCAGCAAGTGCGTTTGGAGTCGCATTGAGCTCACTAAGTCTAAGTCGTTCAGCTGTAGCACCCTTTCGGTGCCTAGCTGCCATGCCAGACGAAGGAGGCACGAGGGCTGGAATACTGCCAGGTTGCCCAAGCCTGGACAGGAGAAGTCGAGTGGCAGAGGCCGGGTTCGAGCCACGGGCCTTCCGGTTAGTAAATTCGTGCTCTAACCACTTGGTCCATCTCGCCCCAGCCTCTGCAGCCTGCAGCCTCTGCATCTCGACTTCTCCTGTCTAGGCTTGGGCAGTATCCTGACAGTATCCCAGCTTTTGTGCTTGCTGGCGGCTAGACACCGAAGGGGTATTACAGTTGAACCACATTTTCACCATCAAAAACAACTTACGACGCCTCGATAACGCAAATAAAAGCTCCACTATTGTATCGTCCGTCGAAAAAATGATTCCACAGCTGGGCGGACTTGGGCGTCCGATGCTCCATGTGGTAGACGAAATAAACGGGATTCGGCACGTACATACAGCGGCAAACGACTGCTTTAGATTGCGCTCGCGATTTCACGCAGCGCTAGCTTCCAAAATAAATATAGCCGTCTAACCACATGCTGTTCTCCAACAGCATGCGAGCCACAGACCAGAAGTGATCACATCAACATCAGTTATCGACGGTGCGGATCGATAACTGACTAAATGGATTGTGATAATGCATGCGTTTGCAATCGCTCCTCTCTTCGCTTTCCATGGTCACGTAAGGAGCGGAAAACTACCTTAGCAACTGAAAGGCTGACCGATCTCGAAGTTAAATGGGCTTGTTGGAACCGTACTCTGGATCCACTTTCAATTATTCCATCGTCTAATGTCAATTTGTACTCGCCACATCCTTGCAGTGCTGGCAGTCGTGCCTGGAGCACGGTGCTTCCAGGTCCACTCAAGCACTGGATATCAAACAGAACAATGCCATTACTTAAATCCCGGAGAAATAGCCATAAAAATCCCGAAGATAACCCAACAGGACGAATTATCAGACGTCAGGTTAAACTCAGACTCCCCGCCGACCGTGGAGCCTGGTGGTCACTACGGGCTAAGAAAATGGAAGAGAACAATAAAACTGGGAATGTCTGACGATTATTCCAATTGCTGACCGCGGCTGGCTGCCAGAAACCACCGGTGAAGGAAACCACTAAGGATCAACCTGGCGCGACCAGCTTCATTAAGAAAGGTCGCCTGGACGGCTGGGTTGGTGACTACTACTCATTCGAACTCATCAAACTGCACTGTAACCCTTGACAGTAAACCTGAAATTCCCTACTTCATCGGAGGTTTACGGCTGCATACCTCCTCTCAAACGCAACCGAGTGTTTGGTCCAGATGATTTTCCATATCTCAAGGACGGGAAAACTCCTTGGTCAGTGCTCACTTACTCTATTTGTCTCTATATGCGAAGAGTAGGTTGACTCCTAAGAAGTGAGCTAACCACAAGGCTTACGGACAAAAAGGTTTTCCGACAAGGTTGCATACTTCCTCCCATTTCCTGATGGATGAGATAATGAGACGAAAACCCTGTCGACCTGGAATAAGCAGACGACACCGTCCTTCCAAGAGGACAAAGTGTTGGTGTTTCTTTTGGGTGAACTGACCAGTTATCCGGTCCTTTTGTATGCGCTTCGCATCCACACAGTGTAAGATCATGCTCCTTGGCAAGTAATTATTGCGCACTCCGCTTACAATCCAAGGAGAGTAATTGGAAGTTATGGAAAGTTTCACGCATTTCGAAAGATGAATTGGTTCCCACTTCAGTGTAACAGATGGGGTAAATTCATGAATCTCTCAGACTCGGGTCACGTCTGTTCATTTGGGTGCCCGTAGCGGCCAAAGAGCATATTCCCAAATCTCAAGGACGAGCGTACCAGGTTATAGTACGGAGCATAGTTGGATGGCTGCGAGACGCGGGCTATGCGAGCAGCGGAACTGACAACCGTTGCCTCAGAACCATAGCTCACGCAGGATGAAGCCGTCGAAATCAGTTCGAGAAGCTTACAAGACGAGTGTTCGGTTGTGCAACGGGGACTAGGGTTGGAGAGTGTGTTGAGCAGCAGATGTAGTGGTTTGATCATGTATTGAGCGAAAGTGTTGTTTTCTATGCCCAATTCTGGGTCGCGGAAGCAGATGGTCAGTCTTTGACCTGACAAAGAGAAATGAAAACCATTACCAAAAGTCTGAGTACTGTTGGTGCAACTCACCTTCCAGCAAGGAATTCAAGTGATCCCTCCTGTCCACGCTCGAATACACTGCAA